CCTATTGTTACGAGGACTCTCTTTTCAGTGTTGGAAACCGGTAACCTAGGCCCGGAACTTGGAGTAGCGAACCACTTAAGGCTCCACTAGATCCGGCGTAGTATTGAATGACAGTAAAGCAGCCTACCACCAACGTTGGGTGGCGGTGGTGGGGTTCGAACCGCGGACCACAGGGTTCAAAGCATGATGATGACTAAACCATTGAGCCACCACAATGGCCCTGGTGTGCCCATTTAATTTCTTTGAACACGCACTATGCATCCCTGCTTCGATATTGCCCTGANAGTGGCGTTCAAAAAACAGGAGGCGAAACTGAGTTGAAGCACATGATAACCGAATCTCAAGAGGATTATCATCTGTGAATCACCTAAGGTCACAGTAAGGCGGTTAAGTGTGCTATTGCATCGGTCGATGGCATGGTTACCTGTTCTCCAAGTGCACAAACAATGAGTTTGCTAGAGTACATTTACGCCCTGGTCGCAGTAGGGATTGAGGAGAGCAGAATAACCATTTCGTGCGTACTAGAATAGTACTCTCAATACACTTATTGATTCTTCCATCATGTGATATATGCAGCAAGAGGACATATGAGTCGATATGTACCGGGAACGGATAAAGTTACACAAAGCATTTATGTGGTGATAGTCTAGAATCGGTCCCAACTCTGCGAATCAAACGGCCTCAATTTTTTCTAATCCGCAGGCGTTGTCGCTATTGTACCGATTTCGGAATATTCCTGCTATCCGTTTTGCCTACATAAAATGATTCGAAAAGGACTACACTCGGCCATACAAATAGGCTATATCTCGAGCCTTACAAGCCCCAGGTTTGCATGCAAATCATGCAAATTCTGTAAAAGTGACTTGTATTATTCTAGGTGCCACAATTTCGTTCTTTCTATACCATGCATACTAATTCATAGATCTTTCTTCCGGTACCCAGGAAACTGTAAGTGTACTTTAGACCTACATTGAAAAACCTACATTTTGCTGAACACATGACTATTTGCTCTAATCCTTCTAACTGTTCTGGGTGTTTTCCTCCCATGCATTTCTTTTTGTTTTAATAAAATAAGGCTTTAAAGGTGTCCTGAAAATGTTTCCTTCCATAGATTTGTCTCCTCCATCCCATTTACTGGACTGGCAACCGGGGTATTTAATGTAGACATTATTGTTCACAGTAACTTCACTTTCATAACTGTTGGCGATCCGTGGGTTTCTCTCAAACTGCTACTCCCAGTCCATAACTTGCTCCGAAATTACCACAGCATAAACACCGGAAAAAAATCTAACTCGAGGGTTTCCCAGTTTCGCACCTCATTCGTGTCACGGCAACTAGAGATTTGATTGCCCAAGAGCTACTTCAGACATTTTCCGAATCGCACCATTTTTCACACACATGCAATTTTCCAACAGACAACCCAAATTTAAGCTTCATACTGCTACGGACTGTGCAATAGAACGCAAATAAATTAAAATAACTGGTTTTCTCGATCTACATGAAACCAATTAGGAGGAGCCTTTACGCGAGAGAATCGTTTTGTATTTTCTGGAAATCATGTAACCACCGAAGCCAGCTTGATTAAGACCTTAGTATAGAAACAGCAGTGACTAGAAAAATCTTTTTCCCATGGACGGTTCTAGGAATAATAATCATCCCCAATATTGTATGTCTTGGTTCCATAATCTGTGCTTGCTCATAAGAACTCCTCTGATTCACATTAAAATACCCTTTTCTTTTTTTACTAAGACAGCTATTAGATCACTTTTTATTGAGAGATTTTCCGCTGATGAACGTCTGGATGCTGCTGGTAGGATCAAATCCCCTGAACTCTTGGTCAACTTGATAACGTCCCATACAAATTGACCACCACCACCTCGAATCAACACTGCATGATAGGACGCTGACCAGCGGTTGCCATATTGAGTGTCGGTTTTCATAGTCACCGTTAGGGTTTTCTGAACTACAACTCCTTTTGGGCAAAGTTTTAAAATAATGAATAGCCAAATCTGATGCTGCAGTTAGTTGTTTTGGTTGGAATAACAGTTACTACTATGATAAGAGGCTACTCACATGAATCTAAGTATTATGAACCCCTCGTCATTTCCTTACGACTTCTTAGCTCGGTACCAAAGTGAATTTTATTTGGAGTAATACAAAGCACACAAACAAACCGTTTAGCCACCAGTCCGAACTCGGTCTTACGAAAATGTTTGAATTTTCGATATGTAATCCAATTACCAATAATAATGCAGTTGACATCGATTTGCATCAAGTGGCATACTTGTTAGCCTGATAATATATCCTTTGATTCGCAAAATATCCGCTTATATTTGAAGCATTGTTGATCGTGAAACGTGCCATTATTTCATTGGTCCTTTCAGATATCTACGAGGCGAGCTCGAACGCGTAACCGCATTCCACTGGAGACCCCTTGGCAATTGTCCCGTGGAGGACCAGAGCTTTTCGGTTCACATTTGGCTTTACTGTTTGAACTGCTTCTTTCTGAAAGCCCTCCGCTCCCCCGTGGTGACTGGGACCATGATCAAGTTGAGCCACTGGTTACCTGGCCCATCCGTATGGCACCTTTGCGAAACCGAGAAGGCCACACACCCGACTGTACCAACTATCCAAATTGCTTGTCTACGCATTGGTTACGTACTTATCATAGATGCAGGGATTTATGGGATAGTTATCAGGAGACGGCAGAACTTTGGAAGCTGCACCGATTTGGCGGGATCTATTTTCACCAGTCAGAACCACTCTCATTGCAAGACCAATGCCGTGTCTGTCTTCGCAGGCAGCTGTTAATAAACACGCGTGAGTTCCAGTTGAATGGAAATTCAAACATTGATAAAGGCATTAGATACATAAACAAGTTGCCCATTTGAGTAGAGTTTAGTATCTCAATATAGCGATAGGTGGTGGGAGCCAGGAATGAAATGGTGCATCGAACCAAGCAGTCGTTATTTAAGTAGGCCGTTTTCTCACCATCACTTTTGAAGGTGAAGTGTGATTCTATTTGATTTACTTTTTTTAAATTTAGGATTTGATTATCAGTGCCTACTCTTGTATCCCACTTAAGCAAATACAATTACCTGGTATGTCTTCCACGGCGGGATTAACATGCTCCACAGATATATCGAAATGTTGTTGCTAAGNTAAGACCCGGTGACCCCAAGCTATGGCCGGATACAGAGTTAACTTAATCATACCCCAGAGGCAAACCCATTTAGGATTTGACTGTTCCTAGTCCTTAAGTGTCCACTTCTGAGGCACCACCAAAAGGAACTGGCGGTGAGGAGCAAATTCGGTTTGGCCAGCTTATTTTCGTTGAACGCAGTATGTAACCGGATCACCTACGATGATGCTGGTGAACCAGTTATGGTGTTGTTACCTTGGTTTGAAGGCTTATTCTTTCTGAGCCCTTGAGAAATGATTTAAGACCATGACAGTTAAAATTCCCAGGTTTATGCATGTAATGGATACAGAGTCACACAGAAGAATGGAGCGTATATGAATTAGGTATTTAAATGCGATGGAAAAGTTTGTGATAACCGACAAAGAGCACTGGACAGCTGTTTCGTCCTGGTTGGGACTCGTCAGCAGTGCGTACGTTTTGTATCCCTGTCAGAACTGGAACCGCAAACCTTCGGGTCGGGACTTCAAACCCTTACCCCTGAGCTACACGGTCGACGGTCAGGTATCACAAACATTTCCATCGCAGTTAAATGCATTCAACTAGTGGGGAATTACCGATTTCCCACGGAGTGAAACTCATACCCAAGGTTATCGAATATACCAGGAGCCTCTGAACAATCGGATGGGCGAATCCGAGCTTGATACTCTACAAATGAATTAGGTCACAAGGGAAATACCTACTTTCCGTCGGAGCGAGCATCTTCATCGTAAAAAACGCCGAGCGCATTGGATGGTCTCCACTCATCAACACAAAAGTGTGTGGTTGAGTCGTTCTTCGCCGCTATAGTAGTAGGAGTTGAGTAGATCGATTGATTTGGGCGGAACTAGATTGATATCTACTGATTGCGAAAGTAATTCTCGAACAACGGATATGAAAGCTGGAAATAATAAATTAACCAATTTTCGACCTTGCGAGTTTGTACCTGTGCTGCGAAATTCTTTGAGACCGTTTCCACCTAAATCGATTGATCTTTGGCAAATAGAGATGACTATTCGACTCAAACCTACATGTGTGAGTGTGGGTCCGATATTCCTTCGTATCTTTTGGATGTGTTATTGCCGGTCAACGTTTCTACATGCATTTTGCAAACGTTAGATCATTTTCTTGTGATACTTCAAATCATACGGGTGTTACTCGAAAACCACAGATTCATAGTTGGACTGAGTTAATTAAACCAGGGAGAGGAACTAGACGAAATGTGTGAATAGTCGGGTTTATCACTGTAGAAGGAAATAAATATTATAAGATATAACGAGTCACCGGTCACTACTCAATAGCTCGTTTATCGTATATTCACAATGTTGACTTTGCGATATTAAGTCAATCGGATTACGCTTGGAGGACTATATCATATTGATAGAAATTTCACTTTTCTGTTTGGCTATCTGAATAGTGTGTCTGTGTCATTAACTCTCAAGGTATGACCACCAAACCCTGATCTATGAGAATATACTTCGAAGTTTTTATTTTTTGAACAATTCCGTTTTCAGAACCAGCTTTAACAGACACTCAAGCCCACATATATCCGAACTACGCAAAGATTCTGGGAGAATTGAACTTACCCGCAGAAATTTTCGATTTTCTGTTGTATCGTGATTTGTGGCCTGTGCAAAATAGGAAGGAAACGATCGAACAGGAAGAGGAGCCTGTAGCCAAGCGGGCATGTTTCTACAAATGGACCGAACAGTTTGGCGTTGGTCTACGCATTGCGCATGGTTTCATTCCACTATCCGCGGATTCGTGATACAATGTCAGGTGCTATTTTGATTCTCTGCTGACAGAAAATGGGCCTGATCAAGGTCGGATTTAGTGGGTTAACTCTCGGTTCCCTGGACAAGTAATATCCAATAGAATTATTCCATTGACCAGCAAGATCTTGTTCGTATTTGTGCTACTTCAGCCAGCATTTATTTGGTCAAACAAGTTCCCAGTTGACGGTCTCTCTAGACGGAATAACTGTTTATTTTTATCCACACTGTGATATATTTTGCATTGTAAAAAAAATCTAACTCTATCGCCGCATGACTTTGCGTTTTAGTTAAAATTACTTAATGAATTGGAGCGATTTTGGCCACAGGAGAAACCCCGTCGATCATACTAATAAGACAGGTATCGCAAGACTTTCCTAAGCTAGGTTCTCCTTTTCGTGGGTGAAACCTAGCGCGACCGAACATCGGGATCTAGCTTTTCATAGACTCATCGAAGGGTTGCCCTTTTTCTAATTATTGTCCGCCTCGGCAAAATCCGTAAGGCAGGATAGGTTTTTCGACGAGACGGGTAACACGTGCCCCCACCCCCTCGTGGCAAGCTATGGAAGTCACATTTCCCTTAGTGTGTGTTTGACTGCGACCACTAACTCTTTTGAGCCTAACCTGAGCACGGCTTGTCCGGTTGTCCCACCAAACTAACCAAATACGGCGAAGACAGTATTCGAACACCGATGGGCTTTGTTCATTTTCTTCTCCTTAAAACCCGCGTCTTGGAATTGTGCAGTAGCGGAGAACGGACAGCTGTTGGTAGAAATATGGCCAAGGGTGTCCAAAGTTGGCTTGCTTGGTGTTTCTGCAAGCCAATGGTTTGACCGCTGAAAAAGTTGGTCCACCTCTGCACCTTTGAACTGCTTCACGTTGATTATAAATCGGCAGCATTTTACATTAGCTGAGATTGTGGCGGCCCGAACCCAGATATATATATATATATATATGACTATGGGTTCCAAGCATTACCACGAATATTAACTAGACGCCTTTGCATCAACGCCAGATTATATTGGCACCTATCGATGGGAGGCAGTGTACTGTCCCAACACCAGCGAAACCGTGATGACCGAAGCATGCCACTCATGGGAATTAGGCATGAGGATTAGGTTGCGTCTAAAGAACGCGGTGTGATGATTGTTGAGGATTCTTGTATGCATTTCTTGCAGATAAAACATATCTACATTGAATTTTAGAGGGTTTTAGCTCACTGACCAATCTGAAGCAGCTTGTGGACATTTGACGGAAAAAGTAAAAAGAAATTTTCCGTTAGATATCAATTCCCAGGTCTCTGGCATACTTGCCATACCAGGTCAAGATCCAGTCGCGCCTTGATAAGAAACATCACAAGGACTAATGAGATCTTCACTGCAGTGACTTATCTTTGATGTTTTTCAGTGACTCGGTTATAGAGTTTTTGATCTTCCAGACGTCCTCGGACCACAACCTCTGCTGTTTGCAGACGATGCCAAAATATGGAGGACAATGACAAAACCAGAAGATTTATTTGACCTTCAGAACGCCCTTGACGAAGCCCACAAATGGTCTGTCTCCAATGATATTGAATTCAACATCACCAAATGTAAAGTCGTATCACTACGCCACAACGGTCGTTTCCTCTACACTCTCGGACACGAAACTCTGCCTCATGCTCCGTCCGAGAAAGATCTAGGAGTAGTCATCGACGCAGACTTGAGTTGCTCCACAAACTGTTCCCGGGCATCATCCATTGCGGTAAAGCAGGTTGGACTGCTCAAACGTGTTTTTGGATCGTTTGAGCTGGCTTTGTTTCCACGTCTGCTAGCCACGTATATTCGTCCATATACTGAGTACTCAATTCAAGCCTGGAACCCATGGTTGCAGCGAGATCTGAAGGCACTCGAACATCCACAGAGAATAGCTACCAAAATGGTCAAAGGTTTGCATTCCAAGACCTACGGAGAAAGATTACAGCTCCTGGGGCTATACTCATCCCAATATCGTCGAATCAGAGGCGATATGATTTTACTCTATCGGATTTTCCAACCACCCATGTAGACCTCTGTTGGTTTTATAGCACAACGTTCATCTCAGAGGGCATCCGCTGAGGTTGGCACACCAAAAGAGCCGTCTCGACTGCAGACGTGACTCGTTTGCAGTCAGAGNTGCTCGTCAAAACATTACTTTACTACTTTACTTTCATGGACTAACTGTGATGTTGTGATTCTTCATCCGAACCAATGTGTAAACAGCCTATGGGATTTGTAAAAGCGAAGTCTTTGTAAGTTATATCCCATAATAAAAATTTGAATTTGAAAAGTTCCCAGCATGGCAGACAGAAAAACACCAGTCCGTATGGGTTTCCATAACTTATCTGAAAGTACATGATCTCCTATCTAAGCACAACAATGCCACCAGAAAAGTGAAATACCGAATACCGGCAATAAGGCATACAGAACGCGTTTCCACTGCTAAGTATGAATCAACAGAATTCCTAAAAGTGCAGTTCGACGAAGTGTTCACTACAGGCGATAGAGTCGGATTACAGCCTTCATACCTTCGGCCAAGTGTCCCATACTCTCAATTGACCTTCGAATCTGAAACGGTAAGAGTAAACTATTGACAGCGTATAAGAATTTAGCTCCAGCATCCACCCACATACGCTGATATCCTTGCAAATCACATATATGTTATAGTTGTTCATTTGTACCAAAGAATGTTCGTCAAGACGGTGACTCCTCAGTCCTGGAAACACGGTATCACTTCACTCATTTACAAAGGTGGCTGTCGAAGTGATCCTGCGAACTACCTTTCAGTTACATTTCTTCCTGCAATCAACTGTCGCTGATTCTCTGATGTAGCATTTCGAGAGATATAACATTCTTTCACCGGCCCAACACGTGTTCCGAAGAAAACGGTAGTGCACCACAAATCTGTTACTTGCTCGAGATGAATGCATTAGGATAATTGATGCGGGAATGGCAACAGACGTAGTCTACTTAGACTTCTCCAAACATTTTGACAGGTTTAATCACTGTATACTGCTGCGAAAGCTCCATAACCGCGGAGGTCGAGGACTGTTCCCCGACTGGAATGAGGAATTTCTTCGACAGCCTACCGCATTGGTTCTAGTTAATGATTCTATATCGAGACCCACTGAGGCCGTCCGTGGATCCGAACCTTTTTCTAGCATTCGTAAACAACCTACCAGATATCTTTCGAGAAAAGGCACTATTATTCGTTGACGACACTGAAACATCCTGAGGATCATGCAACCCTACAAGAAACTCTCGACGTAACTTACTAATGGTCTATCACGCCTCCGAAAGCCTCAGTATGGTCGGGGGTGGGTGTCCAGGGTTGCGGCTGGTTACCCTTCCCTTGCATCTCGCGAAATGCTCACATACGACCTAGCGTTTCTAATAGCCTACGCTGCGGAAGTCATACTCACTGCCTACTCGTGGCGGAGGTGTTTTCTCACCAGAGTGAGAACGAAAAGCCGACATCCGGGTTGATGGATCACTGGTAGTTGATCTAGGGGAGTTGGCCGGAAACCCTGATTCCAAACCAACCAAGAGGAGGCGTACGAACCACACACTTTCCTGGTTGTGGCAGTGATCACCGGTGCGATTGGGCACCTTGAACGTTTAACTCCGTCCAAAGGGTGTATGATCCGATGAACTGGACACTGGCCGCCAATGGATTGCGGTTTTCACACACCACACCGCTGCCTCGCGGGTCAGGCTTTGGCTAGCCAAAGGCTCAGGTTGTGGATTCCCCAAAACATTCACCTGCCTTGGCCTGGGCAGCCTGGCAGTATTCAGCCCACGTGCAAATCATGCAATATTTCTCTTTTTTATAAAGACTATTGTATCGCGATTTGTTTGGCACACGGCCTGGTGTCAGACGTGTGTGAAATATAAAGTAATAATATGGTCTATCACTGATGAAATCGAGTTCAACGTTGAGAAACACAAGGTTACACCACAGGTCGATTTCCATACGTACTTAGAAATCAGCCGGTACCGCGTGCTCCAAAGGAAAAGGATCTGGGATGTCACACATTCCATTAGTGCGTCATCAAAAATCATAAAGCAAACTGAATCACTAAAAGGTGTTTTTGGATCATTTGAAGTAGAGCTACTGCTCTGTTGGTCATCAACATACATCAGGCCGCACATTGAGTACGAGTGTACAAGCTTGGAATCCATGGCTAATTCGCGACCAAAAGGCAGAGAACAGGAACAAAAGTGGTCAAAAGGTTGCAATGTGAAATCTACAATGAAAGGTTGCATATCCTCCGATTCTATTTATCTGAATACCATCGACTGCGGGAGAAGTGATCCTCGCATATAAAATACTACATCAACAAAACCGACCGTATAGTATTCTATTGACACTATCCAGGAATGGTCACCTTTTGTGACATCCAACTGAACTTCTACTCCATAAATGTCGGTTAGACTGCCGCGGTCACTCTTTCGACCTCAGAGTTTGCAATAGCTGGAACTCTCTTCCACCTCAAGTTGTTTGTGCTCCAACCATCGACTCATTCAGGTCACGGTTCGATGAAGCATAGAAATCTAACTGTTCCGCACCCATGAGTGAACGTTAGAATTTTCTATTCAATTGTACTACCAACCGAACCCACTGTACAGATCCTATGGGATCTCATAAGCATCAACCTTGTCACTTATCCACAACAAAAATTTGAATTCGATGACATAAAACTGCGGATTTTGTGCATTTTCGACATTGACATGTCCACTAAACCGACCAGTCATGTCACGTTGCGGTCAGAGGCTGACAGAATGCGACATTATCTTAAAAGATCTAAACAGGACTTTGTTCTCCTTCCCCACACGAAACCGACCTCGTTGACCGCCGACACCGATTGCCACCTGGGATGTCTTCAGTTTGTTTATAGGACTACCAACAGGATAGTTGTAAACGAAGGAATACAGAAAGTAGTTCATGAAAAGAATCCACTTAATTGCAAGGAAGGTGCCTATAAAATCACAGAATATAGTTCACATAGATTTTTATTATCAGAGCTACCAGAGTTGGCAGATGTTGAATAGAAATACAACAATCAATATGGCAGAAAACTTTGCGTTCACGGGAAAAATAGAAAGAGAAGTAGCATTTTTATGACATGCAAAAGGAACTTCAAAAAAATAATAACTGAACAAACAGAAAAATTGACAAATCGGCACAATTATCGTGGCCTCGATGGAAATTAGCTGTAATTGGGTAAAGTTGATATCTGTTGGTCACTATGGTGGAAAGACGCACGGGCAAGTAGGAAACACGTAATCGAGTGTCTAAGCGTGGTTGAGCGTTGGACCTTTTACAGACTACGTCCAAGCAAGGCCGATATCGGCTATGAGATAGAGCATCAGAAGACAAATCCTTGATACATTGCAGTCAACAGTTAATCATTAAATGTGAAGATGATCATGTTGCTGGTTGCTGCTGTGCACAAAAGTAGAACAGTTATTTAAGTCATGTAGTTTGATAAAATCTGGGCGTCAGTAAACGGCAATCCAAGGCATATTCGCATCATCAATCGAACCAACGGGCTTGAAACGGATGTCGACGATACCATCGAAGTGCCTTACGTAGGGGTAGTGTGTGGCGCTTCCAGGCCGGCCATAATTCGCGATAGGCTAGATAGGCTTGCAGCGCAGGCGGTACCGGTAGTTGAGCGATCAATCGAGGATATGTGAAACAAGAACCTTCGCCTGATTGAGATAAATCCACTGAACGATTAAGAGGAAAAGGGGGCACTTATTGGGTCAGGTTTAAACAAATGCGAGATTAACAGCACGCAAAGGATGTATAGTTTCATCAGGTTAACCAATAGGGTTGCCAAGTTAATGAAAGTGAAAAATTTGTGATCCAAACATTTAATCGGTGTAACCATCCCATCTGATTCTATCCAAAATCCAAGCACCGAATGTGGGTGCGGAGTAATCTGTATCGGCAGAGAGCCACCGAGTAAATCACGAAAGAGGGGTTCAGGAGGAGGACACAACAATGAACAGTCCGAATTCCCAGCTGAACACAAATCGTGTACAAAACGTTAATGCATTATTATCGTTCATAGGGCATCTGTCAGTAATAAGCCAAGAGGTCATTAGTGGTAAATTAATCAGAATTATCTATTTTGTCAGAAGCCCATGGGTACTACGCCTTGCGGGGGCGATGGAGATCAATCGATGCTTTCCTCACCTTGGATCAAACCTGGTGATGTCACACGGTACCCTCTTCTCTTTTATGACTCAGTAGACCCTCCAAGGTATCTTAATGTAACTGATTTATCCCATAGTAAGCACCTGCGTAGATGCAGCAAAAATGATTCCGGAAATACATCGTGCAATCTCTATTAGCATTACTTTTCTAGTACAAAATGGATTATTTAAAGGAGATATTAAAGCATCTTTCGGAAGCTCGATCGCATCCAAATCCAACCACCCAAAGACGAAATTCACAAGGATTCGTAAAATGGTTTATCCAAACAACTTTAACTTTGCTTTGTTATTTAAATCAATCATCATTGTACAGTGAACCGAACTTTTCTGATCGCTACCAAACACGCAATACATACACAGGAAGTGAAAATGCGTAACGCGCTCAGGGATTATATCTGTTTTGAGGAGGGGGAAGAAGGCCAACACAGAGTGAAAAGTTCAACTGTGCGTACACACTTTTTCAGACATTCTGGTCTCTTAAGAAGTGACAACAATAATTTAAAGAAATGTTAAACAAGATGGTTTGTAATGTCGTAACGAACTTGCAAATATAAGTCACATTGCATCGCGTGTAAACGAAATGAGAAACGGCCCGATCAGCGGCACAGTGCACATGCGGGTTACTACTTATGCAAGCGAGGTCCCGGGTTTGGTTCTACAGTGGGTCGATGAATCCACACTGTTAACGAAAAAGGGTGAAAAACTGCCTTCTATTTTTTCCTTTCATATTTTCTTGTTTCTGTGTGCGACGAGATTTCCCACATCACACCACCACGGTTTATGAAACCTGCCGTCTTTGAAATCTACCGCATTTTTTCAGGCACATTTTTCAAGTACTGAAAAACATTCCGGCAGAGATGGAAAAAACATCGAGCATAGTCTACCGGAATGAGACCGGCTTTGAAACGACACTCAAATCTATATAAGAAAAACAGTGGATACATGCACTACTTGAACGGTCGATAACCAGTGTGAACTGTAATAAGTTAGTTGCTAAAGCAATATCGATGACTGAGTACTACTCGGAAGATTACTGCCGGAAACTGCCATTTTATGAGAAGTATTCAGGCCTTGTGGAATGCCAAGTCAAGGCTGGCGTTTTGAGTTCTATCCAACGTCCCCGAACACGCCAAATTCACTGAAAGTACCCTAAATTTACCAAGCAAGTATGATGGAGAATAAACAAGGAGAGCATTCCGATAACTTCGCTAACCCCTACGGTTTCGCAGAAAAATAAACCTCTACACTAAACTAGGCCTTTTTGGATCAACAGTTCACCCCGCCTATTCATACACCTCCAAAATGTGGTCGTGAGGGTGCATTCCATCAGAGTAAAAACAAATCAACCACTTACGCTCCTGATATATGTTTATGAGAAAGTGGTACGACCGCCTTACAAACTCCACAGTACGTCAGCTGCATAATTTTACTGAGACATCCCCCAATTTTCAATAACACTGTCTTCGGTTGCTCGGCGATTTTCCTCGTCAACCAGAAACGTAACTCGTAGTGAATAGCCCAGGACCGACATTGTGGTTTGCTGAGACACTTGTTGTTTTTCTTGTGCTGTTCTTCAAAATATTGCATGTAACTGAGCCCTGTTGAAAGTCCTTGAAAGAGTGCTGCTGAACCGTTTGACTACCCTCTCTGATGTTTTTGATCCTCTTCAGTTTGCTTATAAGAAATCCCTTTCGACTGTTGACGCTGTGGCGTATGTTGTCCAATCTGTGGCCTCAGTTCTTGATAAGAGTGCTGGAACTGTTCACCTTATTTCTCTTGACTACGTCAACGTTCAATTGACCGTCGCATCCTCACTCAACGTGTTGCTGGCTGCGGCTTAGGATCCGACGTGTTAAACGTTCTTGTCAACTACTTCTCTTTCAGGATGTAATTTACCTCATACAATGGTAAAACATCGCTGTCTTCTTATGTTAACTCTGATATCTTCCAGAGCGCCATTTTGTCTCCGTTCTCTTTTTTTCTGTACATGAACCACCTACCAACTTTGTTGCCTATAAGCATGCGGACGATGTGGTGATTGGGTGCCCCTCCAATACTGATGCTTCTTTCCACCAACTTCAAAGCAGTCTGAACGACGGTTTTAGTGGATCTTTACCCCGATCAATCTTGCTTAACGTTTCCAAATGTGTCGATGTTCCCTTCAGCCTTAAATCCGGCTCCCGCTATCAAAATACCTTTAATGATTTACCGGATCTAGTAGTTAACAGTCACAACATTCCCCAAGCTGACTCTGTTAAATACCTCGGAGTCGTTCTATCCCACAACCTCCCTTGGACCTTATGTGTAGAGAACGTTTACAAGGTTCGTAAACTCTCTTTTTATGCTTTCAGGCTTAGGAAGCTTGCTGTTCCCCCAAATGAATCAAGTCTCGTCAAAGTAAGCTAACTCCACTTACTCTCTACTCATGTCATCCTTGCAATAAGCAATTCCTGAGCTTGGGTTTCTCACACCAATAGTGTACTCAATTCGTCTCGTATATCGAACACTATTTAACTACCGTCTGTCAAACAGTGAAGGGGACACATGGTGCTCCAGAAGTATCGGACAGAGAGCCGGCGTTGATCTTCCAATGTCAGCTTATGCACCACTACCTGGAACTCTCTCTAATCTCCAGTTGTTTGTACGCTAACCATCGATTCACTATCATCATTATCATTATCTCCATGTAGAGGAAAACAGTGAGGTGAACTTCACCGATTGAGTCAAGGCTCGACAGAACATTGAAACCTCTGATTCCTTAGCACTCATGAGTGGACGTGAATGTGGATAGTTTTGTTTGTATTACTATCCAAACCTGTTATGCAACGATCGTTAGAGACTTAGCAGGCTTGAATTCGGTAATTTAATGAGTAAAACTTTTGATACAAGGGCAGGAGAAAAAAATGTTTGATATTTTTTCACAACTTACCCAACTTCTGCGTGGCCAACTGACGAATACGCATACGGCACCATTCGAGCAGTGTAAACGGCCTGTGTACTCGTTCTGTTTGATTAGCATTCGATGCTGGTGGAATACCGATAGGCGCATCATCATTGTTCGCATCATCATTATCCGCATCATCTGGATAAGACTGCATACGATGGTAAGCCCATGCATCAATCAATTGGTCGATCTCTGTTTCCTGACCAAATTCCAACAGACATTTTGGATAGTTGGTACAATCGAGTGGGTGGACGTTGGTAGGAGACTCCAAAATTCGAGTTGGATGAAAACTACCGCTTGTGAACGGCAATGACGTGCACCAGACTTTTGGGGTGGCAGCCATGAGCTCGCACAGAAGTTGTAAATTACTCAGACTCAGTTGTTCATCGTATTCACCGTGTGAATCGCACAAGCCGACTGCGACATTCAAAGCAGGAGGATTCGACGAAACGAAAATCTGGATAGAAAGAAATGAATGTTGATTACCACCAGCACAGAACGGGAATGAGACAAAAGAAATCAATAAAATCCATTCGAACGGAGGAAATACGAATCAGACGAGGGGGTTGCTTCAAATGAAGCTGAATTACCTTTTTGATTTTAACACTGCGGATATTGTTTCTCTTGATGATGGTGATGAGGAGGAGCAGTTGCAAGCAAGTTATCCAGCTTGGTCAATGGGCGAAAGTAAAAATAATGAATAATTAATGAATATGGAATATCAACGGTCTAAACACGCTGGCTGTGTTGGAATCAAGGATTAAACAGAAACTGATTCGTACAAGCAGCGGGAATATTTGTGTGTTTGACGGAAAATGAGGTCTTTTCTTATTGGGTGCCATGGTTGGAAAACTGTTCCATTAACAGTGGAAGAGGTAGTAGTTAGGAGTACTGTTAATGATAAATGGCAACCTAAGCTCTATGACTTAAGGTGGCGAACTACCCAAGGTAACGATAGAATAATGATAACGTAATGGTAAGCCGGACAACAGTGAAGGTACTCATCGCTACAGTTGGGTGGCGGCGAAAGGGTTCCTATTTCAAATGCATCCAAAAGACAGGTCAGTTAAACCGGTCTAGTTTACTGGGCCAGCATCTCTCACCAGTGTATCACTTTAAATTATTCTGCGAATTGTTTCGGAGTATGTGAGGTGCATAGATTCGTGGCCATGAACATACGATTCCACTGTCACAAGTCACACAACTGTTCCACCGCCACCCGTCTTCCCAGACAGCCTTTGTATGGCCGTGGCTCCCCTTCTTGAATGTTGACTGTACATTTGTATATTCAATAAGTAGAAAAAGGGAAGTAAAAGGACCTTTGTTTATTTAACAGAATATAAGTCCGCTCTTTAATGAACACTGCAAATTCATCAAAACGCGGCTCGGTGGTGAGGAAACAATGACAGACAGGTCTTTCGTGGGTCGGGGTTAAAGATAAACCTCCAAGGCAAAGCAAATAAGACGTCATGAACCACAAAGCACTCACGATAAAATTTTAATGGCGTAGTTGCCGAGCGTTACTCTGACCCTTCCCACGAAGAACACTGTCCTCGGTGTTCACACGTGCAAGGTAAGAAGAGTAGGTGGGGAACGAGGGACTATCCTGCTCGCGAAACCAAATGCAATGTGAACGTACTCAAGCTCTCGCAGCGCAGTGCAGCGGAGTGAACAGAGATGTGTGACAGGATATCCCTCGGCTCGACACGAGGCTTTGCGAGCAAAGAACGACGGCGGGGGAATGGAGATAGGGTTAGCAGGTGCAAAACTTTGTGTCACCCTCAATCCGAAGCAATGATTATAACCGTCACTTTTATTAGTTACACTTTGAAAATCTGTTATTGAAATCGGTGCCATCTTATAACACCGTACACCGAACATTGATACAAGACCACAGAAAATATGTAAAATAACCGTATGATGTATCAGACAAATTATAAAAGAATAAAGTGACTGTGAAACGATTTCGGTTATCTTCGCGTGGTCTGGATAATGTTCCTGAATTGATTGCAGCTCAACCCAATGCATAAACTCACCTCAGACCATTGGAATGGTTTACGAATAAACAGTTGTGGTTGTATCAGCAGAGCTGTAACTGTGCGTGTGAGGAATTTCTGAGGTTGATTTGTTTGATCCGACTCTGTCAGCGGTGGTGCGTTGGAATGCGTGGCCAACGGATACCAAACTGGAGCATAACCACGTAGCTGAGCCAAATGTACAGGGCTTCGTCCAATCAGATTCGGGCGATCGACATCCCACAGGTACGGTTTCTCGCACAGTAGGGAGGCACAGATCGCGGATGATTGGTGAACTGCAAACTGGGAAGTGAGACGTATCATACGTTTATGCGTAAAAATGGTTTGAAATTCCCCCAAAATGCCCCAATAGGAATACCTCAAGATCATTTAGCTAACAATGCAATACATATAATAATATAATAATAATATTCTAAATCATGCGTTTCACGACTGTTAAATATCACAGAATAGGGAAGCGGCAAATCAAACGATTGCCACGGGAGACATTAGCGCACTGCATTTGACTCTGTCAACAAAGAATCCCTATGGTGCATGATGCGGTCTGATGTGTTGCCCGAGAATTTAATCAGGCTTTTCAAGTTAGACTAATTAGGGACCCAGATATTCGTCCAATCCTAAAGAGAAGAATCAGATGAGTTTACATTAGGTTGGGGCAGATAAAATTGTTTCTTATCGTAGATGTTTTTTTTTCACNCCTTATGTGGTTCGCCACTTCAAGTCCGGGGCTTAGGTTATCGGTTTTCATCACTGAACAGCAGGTCCTCGTGACTATGGGGTTCGCCCCGTCTGCTGTTCATCACACTTAGATGTGTGATAAAAAAAATGATAGATTGGATACTGCAAAATCGCTCGTTTTTCCAGGAGTGCAATTTAGCCAAGATATATGGATAGCGAACCTCAAGCTTGTAGAAGATGTTACCGTACTTGAGGATACCGTGGATAACCTCCAGACTGCCGTCAGTCACAACAACCAGCTCGCTTAGACTACTGGGCTAGAGATCAACACGTCGAAAACACAGACGTTTATGACAGAAGCTACTGCCGCGGTACAACTCATCTCAATCAACAAGGAGTCCATCGAATCAATATGAGTTTCTAAGTATCTTGGATCTGCAATCAGACCAAACGCCCTATCTCTACTTACGGTCTGAAACATGCCCGATATTGGTACAAACAGCGAAGCTCGATGTCTTCAACCACTGAGATTACGTCTTATCTCGAAAGTAGGTTGAAGAGATCGTGCATCCAGTGGTTTGGCGGCAACGGACAAACATCGACAAGTATTCCCAAATGCGATAACACCCGGACCTTCAGTGGTTTCGTCACGTGTTCTGGAGACCCGAAACTAAACTCTTGCGTCGGACTCTGGCTCCTGCATCCGGTCGTGGATGACGTTGCCAACTTGGTGGCCAACAGAAGACCCGGAGTAATACGATCAAGGCAGATGATGCCTCGCTTTAACGGTACAAGAACCTTTATAAAAAAATAAAAGGTTCATGATCTGTTCAAGGGCAGGATACTGCTAGGTTGCACAGGCCAAAACAGGTGAATATTCTAAGGGAGTTCAAGACCAGAGCCTTCGGCCAATCAAAGCCTGACCCGCAAATAGCGGGGCGGTATGTGAAAACCGCAATCCATTGGGGGCCGATGTCCAGTTAATCGCATCATATACCCATTGAACGGCGTCAAACGCCCAAGGTGCCCAATCCAGCCACATACCATTAGCACGACCGGGAAGCTGTGGGTGCATTTGGTTCGTACGTCTCTTCCTGGTTGGTTTAAAATCAGGTCTTACAGTAAACTCCTTAGGTGATTCATCAACTCGGTTTTAGCCCCGGCATCAGGCTTCTCGTCCTCAGACTTTGGTGGAAAAACACCTTAGCCACGAGAAGTCAGTGAGAAAGGCTTCATCAGCAGAAGCTATTTGAGACGTGTTGTAGCCCACAATCAACTGATATCATCATCGTGCACCGAAATACAGTGAGGCGAACTTCACTGATTGCTGCCAAACTCGCAATGGGTTAGTGGTAAAATTTAAGGTGGGCAGGGATTGGACCTATTTTGAGGAAGGGGAAAGAAGGTGAACCTCTATTGTCAATACATAGAGTACACAATCGAACTCAAGCATTTGGACCTGATAAGAAACGATAACAAGATGGCCACTGCTGTCGGTTCGCTGCCATATCCTTCAATGTCTCCAACCAACCGGTTGAGGAGTCTTTTGGACCCCAACCTGGAATGCGAGAGACGCCTACTGTACCTAATGGCTCTGTGCATTCCTGCCTCGTCTTCACGTCATCTGTTGACCTCCACGCGGTTTCTACAGCTACAGCTACAGCGAATAAGGCGCGGTGCGGCAGACGACAGCTGGGCATACGCAATATGTGCCCTTGCCAGCGAAGTTTACTAATCTGAATTCAACGTGCCATCAGGTTTATACCTGATAGATTCCCAAACACTCGACGGTTTACTTCCGCGTTACTAACCCGTTCGCCCCATCCAATGTGGGCTACACTATGTAAACACCGTTAATCGAAAACTTCCAGTAGACGGATATCTTCTACTCGCAAATTCAAGGTCTCACAACGAAAAAGCAGGACTGAACGAACGTTAGCACAATATACATGAACTTTCAACTTCGGTGGTGTTCAAACACCGACAGTCTGTCTTTATCCTGTTTTCTTAACTTGGCCATTAAGAAAACAGGATAAAGACAGAATGTCGGTGTTTGAATACCGCTGTCTACGCAGCATTGCACGAGTCTGGTGGGGTAGCCGAATGAGCAGTGCTGAGGTTAGGCGCAGAGTGGGTATCCGCGGTCGCCCACTGGAGCAAGTGGTTGACCTCCATAGATTACGTTGGTTGGGACATGAGTTACACAGGTCACCAGATAAGTTACCACGGCGAGCGATATTCGCCGAAGCAGACACCGAGTGGAAAAAGTCAAGGGTGGTCAAGCTAAGACCTGAAACGAGGGATGAAAACCCTAACCAGGAGACTAGGTCACATAGGCCCTGTTAGGCTCCCTGGCTGGGGATCTCGGGATGATCGTAACCGATGGTTAGAGACACTGAGTGATATGGCTGGGTGTCATAAACAGTGACGCTCGTGCATCTTCTCAATTTCTTTGCAACCTTAGACCACTGAAATTCTCCATTTTCGTATTCGACTTCACTTTCAACTTTCCTTTCTCCTATTCTTCATCCAAATGGGCAGTCAAAAGACAGCAATCAAAACCGACGCACGAATATGCGTGGTTAGTGGTTGTACAAACTGAAACTGAAAACTTTAGTGAAACGCCGCATCTACGCCAAACGTGTTTCAGTCCTGCGTATGCTGCTCGAGCCTCGGAAATGCGAATGGTTATCGTCTTTGCTGCACTACCGTCATTGGTCACGCAACTACCTCAGTGGAAAAAGTAATCAACCACAACTAAATCGCGGCGACTTAATTTCAGAGCGGAAGTAGACGAAACCCAGTCNTGCTCGAGCCTTAGAAATGCGGGCGGCTATCTCTTTTGCTGCGCTACCGTCATTGGTCACGCAACTACCCAAGTAGGGAAAGTAATCTACCACAACTAATTCCTGGCCATTTTGTGTCAGAGTGGGAGTAGACGAAACCCAGTCCTGCAGCATCACTTTGCACTTTGAAGATGCGAAGCACATACTGAATGTGGCTACTGCACTTGGTAGTCTATCAAGTGCGCTTTGCGCGTCCTCCATACATTCGAACAGACAGACGATGTGATCGGCGTACTATAAATCGCACAGCTTTTCTCCAGCTGCCCATTCAATATTTACGTTTTGGAGTCCACTTAGTGCACTCTCCAGTATTTCGTCTATGACGAAATTGAACAGGAACGGCGAAAGAGGGCATCCTTGACGGACACTGCTGCTGGTGA